AATATAATATTAGAGGTCCTTGCCAGAGTAATTGAGCAAGAGAAAGAGATAAAAGGCATCTAAGTAAGAAAGAAAGTGGTGAAATTGTTGCTGTTTGCTGACATGATCCTATGTATAGAAAACCCTAAACACCCTATCAAAAAAAAAAAAACTGTTGGAACTGAAAAACAAATACAGTACAGTTGCAGGATACAAAATCAACAAACAAAAAGCAGTAGTATTTCTATACACTAACAACAAATTATCCACAACAGAAATTTAAAAATTTTATTCACAATAGCTACAAAAACTAAAATACCTAGGAATACATTTAACCAAAGAGGTGAAAGATCTCTACAATGAAAACTATAAAACATTGATAAAAGAAATTGGAGAAGACACAAATACATGGAAATATATTCTGTCTGCATGCCTTAGAAAAAATTAATATTGCCAAAATGTGCATACTACTCAAAGCAGTATACAGATTTGAAGCAATTCCTATAAATATTGCAATGCCATTTTTTCACAGAAATAGAAAATAAAATCTTAAAATTTAGATGGTATTGCAAAGACACCAAATAACCAAAGCAATCTTGAGCAGGAAAAACAAAGCTGTAGGCATCACACTATTTGACTTTAAACTATATTACAAAGCTATAGTACATAGAATAACATCATATTGGCATAAAAATAGACACAACCAATAGAACAGAATAGTGAACCCAGAAATGAACTCACACATCAATGATCTATTAATTTTTAACAAAAGTGCCAAGAACACAATCGGTAAGGGACAGTGGCTTTAATAAGGAGTGTTGGGAAAACTGGATATCCACATGCAAAAGAATGAAATTAGACCCATATCTCTCTCTACATACAAAAATAAAATCAAAATGGTTTAAGGGCTCAAATGTAAGTTCTGAAACTGTAAAACTAACTAGAAGAAAACATAGGAGAAGAAAACTACGCAACATTGGTTTGGGCAATTATTTTTTTAATTTGACCCAAAAAGCTCAAGAAACAAAACAAAAAATAGACAAAAGGCATTACATCAGACTAAAAATCTTCTCCATAGCAAGAAAACAACAGAGTGAAGAGAAAACCTACAGGTTAAGAGAAAATATTTGCAAGCAATACCTCTGAGAAGGGTTAATATCCAAAATATGTAAGAACTCAAAAACTCAATAGCAAAAAAATAAATAACTAAATTTAAACATGGGCAACAGATATATGAAAAAATGCTCAACATCAGTAATCATTAGGGAAATGATGAGATTATTACTTCCCACCTGTCAGAGTGGCTATTATTAAAAAAACGATGCAAGATAACAAATATTGGTAAGGATGGGAGAAAAGAAAATCTTTGTACACTGCTGGTGAAAATGTAAATGAGTACAGCCATTATGGAAAACTGTGTGGAGATTCCTCAAAAAACTAAAAACAGAAAAACAATATGGTCCAGCAATTCCACTACTGGGTAGGTAGTCTAGGACTTAAAATTAGTATTTTGAAGAGATAGCTACACACTCATGTTCATTACAGCATTATTTACAGTGTCCAAGATGTGGAAATAACTTAAGTATCAACCCAGGGAAGAATGGATAAAGAAAAAGGGAACTATATACACAATGGAATACTACACAGCCTTAATAATGAAGAAAATCTGTGTTTTGAGGCAACATGAGTGAACCTAGAGGACGTTATGTTAAGTGAAACAGACCAAGAACGTAAGGAGAACAATTACATGTTCTCACTTATATATGGAGTCTAAAATAATAAAACACATAGAAGCAGAGAGTAGATTAGTGATTACTGGAGGCTGGGGGTGGGGAGTTTGGGGAACGAGAAAGATGTCGGTCAAAGGGCAGAAAGTTGCAGTTAGACAGCAGGAATAAATGATAACTATTTAAGTTGATGGATATGAAATTAGCTTGTTTCAATCATTCCACATCATTCGTGTGTGTGTGTGTGTGTGTGTATATATATATAAAAAATATATAAAATAACATCACTGTGTACCCCCATAATTCTATGCAATTATAATGTGTCAAAAAATTAAATTAAATTTAAAAAACTAAGTTTAAAAAAGATCACTCTGTTCAGTGTTTCCTAGGGTAAATAACTTTTTAAAATGATGGATGAAATAAAGGTAACATTTTTCTTTATTTCAAAAGAACTCTGAATTTATAATGTTGTGCACTAAGAATCTCTAAAAGGAGATTATACTGTAAAGCATCCAGCATCACCACCTCTTTGTTCCAAAACCAGGAAATCTCAAGGGGTGATAATATTGTGTTCACTTCCATTTATGCAAACTGTATGTCTATTGGAAAAGGCCATTCCACACTCAAGGACTTCATGTCACATATTTGGGCACTTCAGTGCCTTCAAAATATTAATATAATTGGAGGTTGAAAGGTTCATGCTGTCCCAAGCAAAGCATGAAGTGTTTCATGAATTGGTGGAAAATTAGGACCAGCAGGATGTCATGTGTCCATTTCAGTGTTTTGATTCTAGGGAAATCCAAGACAGTACATGATTGATTAGGATTAATTGTATTTACTTACATAGTTCTCTTTGTGGATGTTTTCATATGAGCTGGGAAAGCACAACAATTAAGCAGACACCTTTGAATTATTCAAGCTGATGGTTGAAATAGCCCATTAATATTTCAGATCACCCCCCTGTACAAAATAATTCCTACGTTAGTTCATCTCTCTGCATTAAAGCGTCTGCACCTGAAAAAATTAAAAAGCTTGGGCTACATTTTTAAAAAGTCTTTCCAGCTATAAGTGGTAAGGATTCTATTACTTACTTAAACAGTATATGAGGGCCACATTAATTAGAGTGTATATCACCTAAGCTTTCTCCCTTTTTCAGTAATTGACAGATCACCAAGGCAAATGATGCTTAAGGCAGATCAGATATCTGTGTGGAAACGATAAACAATAGCAAATAATAAACAGATTTTACTTATATATTAAATACTGTTTTCTCAAATTTAAATATTTATTGAGTATGTACTCTGAGATAAGATAGCGACTTAAAACACCTTTCCACTCAAGGCTTGGCACTTAGCACAGCCTGACGTCACTTTTCATGTCATCCTAAGTCTGTTTCCAAAAATGTGGTCGTGAGACCACCTACCAAATCATACTCGCTGGAAAAGCTTATCGATGAACATTCCTGGGTGCTAATCCTCTAGGGACGCAGATTTCATAGAGCAGGCTAGAGCTCAGGAATCTGCGTTGTTAACAAACTCCCCAACAGAATCTCATGCACACACATTTAAATACCACTTCCTCCAAGATGTAAATCACTGTGCTGGGAGTATAGCCAAATAAATAGTAGACGAGGGTCTGAGGTAACATCAGAGTAACAGGAGATTAATACCTCTGCGTTCTGGTAGCTCCCCTCACTGCATTCTAATCAATGGCAAGGAGGTCGCTGCTCCTCTGTTTCACCCCTTGTCTTGTCTGAAAGGTAAACAAACTTCGCCTAAGAAAAGCCTCTTCCAGAAAGTAGTTTCGCCAACAAGTAGGGGAAGGGAGCAACAGAGAGGCTGGAGATCTAATGGGGAAAGATCTGCCTTAAGCTTTTTTTTTTCTCAAAAAGTAGATGGAGTTTGGAGAAACAAAGGTGATTCCAGGGTTCACTGTATAAACTATCCAAATGGATTTAGAGATAATACGAGTACATTTGGAGCTAAGGCAAAGATCCAGTACACATATGATAACTCAATACAACTAAAAACACAGTCATTTGATTTTTAATGAATACAAGAATTTTAATATGCTTCCAGACCTTGTTTTTCTTGTTTCTATTTTCTTCTATTTTTGAAGTTCTCTGTATTCTTGAATGTGGACTTTTTTCTTTTATAAATCCAGTCCACTAATGCATACAAAGCTCTTTTTCTGCCCTAAGGCTAAGAACATTCCAGGTGAACTAATCAATCAATTTTTGCCCATTAAGAAAGAGCACTAAAATAAAAAGAATCCTAACCTTTTGATGGATCTGCTAGTTGTTTGCTAAATACTTTCTTTTTTTAATGGTAAAACACCAAGAGGAGAAGCAGACTTTCACCTTAAGGAGAGGAAAAGCTTCCAGTTCCCAGGGAATTTGTAGCATTTGGGGAATTTGTACCATTTGGGGAATTTTTTTTTCAAATCCTGGAGTATTGGTCAACCATAGCATCACTTGGTGATAGTGGTGTTATTTTTAGTTAAGTCTTTCTAGCCCAAGTTGGAACATGTGCATATTTGAAATGTAGAATAAATGCTTTTGCAAAACAAACTGAGAACCAGGCGTGGTGTCTGGCTTAACTGAATACCTAACTCAGCAATAGCTTTTGCACAGTGTTGTTCAAAGTATCTTCCTTAAATTTTCAGATTCTTTGCCTTATATTATAGAATTGATGGAGTAACTGATTTATTTTGTAGGATCTGAAACTCCCAACTTGTTATTTCCAGGTTCTGAGTGTTATACGACTGAACCTATTGGTAATATGTGTTGTTCCAGCCTAATGGTTAAATGAGAGAAGTTCATGAAGAAAAATGAGATATGATGTTGCATTTCATGAAACAGCTGTCTCAGCCCAAAGAAATGTTTCTCTTATCTGTAGAAGAAGATAAAATAAGACATAGCTGACCAGAGATCTTCCAGTTTTAAAAGTTTAACAACAACAACAGCAACAACAACAAAAAAAAACAGATGTTTCACAAGCACAGTGTCTAGCCTACCATGGTGTTTTACTCTGGTCTTCTGGTGGATGCTTTTCCTCAGCTGAACATATTCCTAACTAATAGTGGAAATCAATAGAGAAATTGGATTCAGGTTAGAATCCAACTTAGCTGAAGCCATTATTACTTCAAGCAAGAGATACATAAAATTAGAGAATGACAATCTGATTTACTAAATTAATAAGCACACCACAACTATGTTTAACTCAGTATTGTGGTTTTAAAGGTCAGAAGTAATAGAAAAAATCAATCCATTTCTCTCTTCTTTTCTTTTTTCAGGTTTTTGACCAGACAAGCCAACCTTTTTCAAGGTAAACAACATTATACCATTCTCCAATTTGTTGGCAAAATCCAGCAAATTGTTATTGGTTTTAGATAAGTTTTTGCTGTATGTCATGAGTGAGACATTCAAATGGTGCTCAGAATTAGAGTTTACTGGTGATGTTAGTGATGTGAGCATGCTATGAATATTGCTTGACTAAGTACTGGACTTAACAGAAATTGAGAGAGAGAGAATGAGAGAGACAGTGTGTGTGTGTGTATCTTTTTCTTGCCCAGTCAGCCCTTTTATGATACAGCAGACTCTTTGTCTCTGATGTTCAAAGACAGAAGAAGGTTTCTTTGTGAGCAGCTGTGGCAAGGCCTTGCACCTCTCCAAAGCCTATTTTGGAAGAATTAGAAAGCCAAGTGCCCCCAGCACAGCCCTAACCTTTCAGCTTTGGTGAGGCCTTCCTGTCCAACTCCAGCAGGAGAGTATTCGCCAAGTTGTTTAACTCTCCAGGAGTATCTGTAAAAATTAGCAATTGAAGATGTGCTAATCATATTAAATAACATAATAGGGATCCTTTTTTATTTCATTAGAAAATCAGAATGCATCTGATGTGCACCATCTGGTTTGTGAATACAGGAATAAGTTTTCAAAAGGGCACATTTCCAAGTTCTATGTTTCATATGCTTCAGAAGGAAAAACCTGTAAGCAGCTCTATTTTTAAGGAGAGCAATGCTAAAGCTAATAAGGTTGGGGTGGATTTGTAGTATGTGCCTTTTCTCCTAAACTACATGTGTTTGCAATACGTTTGGCAGACATGTCCTGTTGAGAGGCTGGGCTTCCAACTGAAAATTTTAAAGTTCTCCATGTGTTAATTGGAAAATAGAGAAAGCTATCATTGTAGTAGAGCCTCTGGCTTCCTAGATATTAATTATAGGTCCATCTACTCATAAAGACTAGTATTTTAAAGTTATCTCCTATTATTTCCTATGTTAATTCTAGAGACTGTAAGTTTTCAGATCATGGAAAAAGTCAAGTTAAACTGCATTATGTATTGTATGCTTTTTAAAAACGTCTTTTACATGCAGTCACTGTACATAATAAGCAGAAACAAAATAATAAAATATCAGATTTACTATTGCTACCCCCATACTGAGTTCTTAAAATATATTTTTTATTTAAACAAAAATATAGTTCTGGAATGTAGTCATCTTACTCTATGAAACAGAAACATATTTGGATCACAAACCTGCTTTAGAGGAGTAATTCCTTCAGTTTCTTCCATAATTTTTACAAGTCTATACAGTAACAAACAGGATTTGTGAGGCAATATAATGCTCTTCTTAACCTCTCAGTAATTGGAGGCATCATCTGTATGTATTCCACAAGTCCAGCTCATGCTGATGAAGGAAGTATAATTACATTAGAGGCAATCTCATCTAAGGTAATTACAATTGTCACCGTCAATCCAATTAAACAGGATAACTAACTCTACTGAGTCAGAAGCACCATAAAGCTTTCTGACTAAATCCAGGCTTTGGGATAAGGATGTGATTAGAATTTTGAGAATTTTCATTTGCTAAAATACTGTTGCGTATACAAATAGATAACAATGTTGGGAGAGGGGATTGGTGGGGAGAGATTGGATATAGATAGGCTTTTTTTTTTTTTTTTTTTTTTTTTTTCATTTACTGGTCAATTTCTTATTTCTAAGCCAGAAATCACTGTAGATTCTCAGCATCAAACTTCAGGCCACACAACATCATTATGGAAAGGTTACCCCAGCATCACAACATCCCAATGCTCTACTGTTCCCATCTGGCCTCTCGTCCTGAATCAAGCCTGGATCTCATTATTCCTTCAGAGACCTTTCATCTTGTTCCAGTTGTAACGATGCAAAATACCATCTCCTGAGCTCCAGCCCTGCCTTTGCAAGATGGAGGAAGTTGGCTCAAATAACAGTCCCTTACCCCTGAAACTCTTGCACTGGTTTGCACAGGGTCAGTGTGGGAGGTAACGTGGAACATCACCAAGAATTACAGAGGTATAATGACAAGTGGATAGGATGCACTTCTCAAAGATTTCATCTCTGTCTCTATAGTCCAGGCAAGAGGATAAGCTTTGGATAACAGAATTCAGAGAATGAGAAGTGGGAACGCTACTGGGCACTGTGACTAAGACTGATAAAGGGCCCAAGTGAGATGGCATATGCTTTCATTACATGATACACTATGTGAAGATACTGGTGTATTCTTTATGGTTTTTCATATATAAAGAGATATAGGAGATAAACTTCTTCATCAGGGGGTAGGAGGGGAGAATTTACAATCTGATGTCAATGGCTCCCTTAGTCACCACTCACCACTCAGCATCATCTCTCAGAAGCCCACACCCTGGCTTTTCTGTCCTGTAGCTGGGACTTTCTGCCTGTCTCCATTTCTTCGTATGTGTTTTTCATGCCTCACACACTCCTTGCCACTCGTGGTTGCCTTTTCTCTTTGTCCCTATAGGAACTTCCAATCCTGCTTTAGAACTTACCTCCTTCAGGAAAGCAAATGTCACTGAAGTGTGGGAGTGGAGTGGAGAAAAGACTAGGTAGGAAGAGAGCCGAGCTCAATTTTATATTCCACGACTAACTGGTTCTGACTTTCTCAACAAGTCACCAAAGCTAGCTGAGTCCGAGTTCCTCATCTGTAATATGAAGATGTTACCATCTGTCCCGCCAACCCCATTTTACTTAATTTCATTGTGAGTGTCTAAGGTGAAGTTATGAATGTGCAAAAAGTCCCTTGTACTTTATAAATTCCTTAGAAATTTCAGGGAATATATATAATTATTATTATTATTAAGTCCCCTCCCTCTCGCCCCAATTACTTCCTTTTGTTGACTCCTGCAGCCCTTGCAATTTAAATGGTGCTTCTTAAAATGCCCTCTTTTATTTCCTGGTATGTTGTTTCTGTTCTTTCTGTTTCCTTTTGAGCGTCTAAGAACCTAAAGGCTGGCACTATGTTGCTTACTTCTTTTCTGTTTTTCCTAACATTTAATTTATTTTCTGACCCCCTGAGATAGAGTGATTTGTCGAGGCATTGTATTGTGTTTATACCCTCTTTTGTTTTCCTCCCACGATTGCAAGCATACAGCCCAACTTAGTCTTGAAGAAGTCAGGCTGCAGCATCAGATAACGAGCATAGAAAGGCCCAGGTAGGAACCAGAGGCAGAGGCCCACTGTGATGCTCTTGGCAATGACTAAGACCATGGCCTGACCCTGGGAGATGGAGAGGAGGCAGTGTCATAGTGCCTGAAATTGAGTTTCTTATCTTTCTGATAGGATAGAGATCAAAAACCAAATTAATTTGACTTTAAAAAATAAAGAAAAGAGACATTCCTTGCACATCCAAGTTTGTGGACTAAAACTTTACTTAAAGAAAGTCCTTAACACATAATTGTTATTACAGGATGCAATTCCTAAAAAGATTCTAGAATATATCCGGTCAGATAAACTTAAGAGAAAAATAGAGCCAGGAAAGTCTTGAGCTATTTCTTTTCTTACGGGTAGAAGTGGGTATCCTTCCGCTACTTATTTAAAGAAAACTAAACAGGGATATGCTAATAGCTTCAATTAAAATTATGGAAGAAATAGTCCAGGAGACATATTGAAACTTGAAACCTTATGAGATTGAATTAACTATTTTAAATATTCAGAATTTTCATTAACATACAATATATGTTATAGTTACAATATTTGTTATGTTTGAAATTCAGAGAGTAATTTGTTAGATTCTTTCTCTTTTAAAACTCTAGGATCCATCCTTGGTGGATTTTATGACAAGGCCTGTAAAATGGAGTGGCTATAAGGAATTATTCACTGTAATAGTTTGCTGGAGTGCAGTGGTGCGATCTCAGCTCACTGCAAGCTCCGCCACCCGGATTCATGCCATTCTCCTGCCTCAGCCTCCCGACTAGCTGGGACTACAGGTGCCCACCACCACCATGCCTGGCTAATTTTTTGTTTGTTTGTTTGTATTTTTAGTAGAGACAAGGTTTCACTGTGTTAGCCAGGATGGTGTCGATCTCCTGACCTCGCGATCTGCCTGCCTCAGCCTCCCAAAGTGCTGGGATTACAGGCATGAGCCACTGTGCCTGGCCTCACTGTAATAGTTATCTACTGCTGTGTAACCAATATCCCTGAAATTTTAGAGCTTAAAACAAGCATGTGCTGTCTCACATACTTTCTGAGGGTCAGGAATCTGAGAGCGGTTTTGTGCAAGGTCTCTCAGGAGGCAAATCTAAGATGTTGGTACCTCAGCCATCTGAATGCAGGGCTGGGAGTGGAGGGTCCACTTCCCCAAGGGCTCATTAACATGGCTGTTGGCAGAGCCCTCTGCTTCTCATTAACTATTACTAGGAGGTTCAATTCCTTACATGTTCGCCTCTCCATAGGCCACTTGAGTGTCCTCAAGACGTGGCATCAGATTTCTTCCACAATGAGTGATCTGAGACAGAGAGAAAGGATCAGATAGGAAAAGAGAACAAGCAATAAATCCAAAAGTCTTTTACTCACACCAGTCAGCTCAGACACCAACTGGGTGTCCAACAATTCTATTCAATTCTGATACCAGTTCCCAGAGTTAGTGCAGACACCCTGGGTCAAGGGCTTAATCCCATAAGACTGCTCCTACTTCAGATGCCAGCTGCCAATGGAATGTCTAGGCTACCTTTCAGGAAACAACACCTCCCCGACTCAGACATTTCCCTGACCACATCCCCGATCCCCACCAGGCAGCCCAGGATCAGTAATTTGCTAGAATTACTCACAGAACTCAGGAAAGCACTCTACTTGCTATTACAGGTTTATTATAAAGGATACAATTCAGGAACAGCCAAATGGAAGAGATTCATAGAAGATATGGGGGTTGGGGGCTTCTATGCACTCTCCATGTGCACCTCCACGTGTTTACCAACCCGGAAGCTCTTCCAAACTGCCATTGTTTAGGGGCTTTTATGGAGGTTTTATTAAATAAGCGCAATTAATTACATCACTGA